CCCCCCCCCCCCCCCCCCATCCCTAATCTAAATGAGTCCCACCCTTCCTGTTTAAGACATTTTGCATAATCTGTCAATCGCGGGATACAGCGCGCACGGTATATCTAGTTTCTGACAGGTCGCTATCAACGTAGTGTGACGCTCTAGTTCTACCTTTTGCAATAGCCACCTTCTCCATTCCTGGCTTGATGGGCTCCCTAGTTCTGCAGCTACAATAATCATTCTCTCCTGCCCTGCCCGTCTCTAGTTCTGCAACACCGATCTTCTGCCTTCATATGCTGGGCCCTCCAATTCTCCAGTTACCAATCTTCTGCCTTGGCTGCTGGGGTCTGTAGCTTGCCCGGCTCTAGAGACATAACCCTGCATGGAGCTTATAGGCTGCACTTCCCCACACTCACCACCACGGAGGTGCCGATGAGCACGATGACCATCTGGATCTCTGCCCTGGGGACCCGCGGAAGCTCCTTCGCTGCCTGAAGTCAGAGATTCGGGTGCCGGTTTCCCAGGGAGGTCCGGCGCATGAACTGCCAGTACATCCGGACGAAAGTCACACACACCAATACATTGCACAGCATGTTGACCAGGAAGAGGAAGTAGCTGCAGCCGGCATATATGTTGGAGTAGGCGGCATAGGTGGACACGTTGGCCCCCCAGTTAAAGGAGCACCGGCAGTAATTTATGAATCATTTATAATATCATTTTTTTTTCTATTTCCTAACTGGAATGGGGGCAGCATTTTTTTAGTGCCCACCTGGAAAGTGCCGCCCTAGGCAAATGCCCCCCCACACACACCACCTCCAGTCCATATGTGGCAGGTCCCTCGGCATCCTCATGTCTAATGCAAGTGAATGCACTGTGTTAGATGTGATGACGTCCTCTGGGTTTGAGGGGCAGAAAATGCTTGAAAGACTGATCAAGCAGCTTGGCGCGATAGAGGATTGGGTAAGTATAATTATTTTATTTTGGCCCCTAGAGAAAAACAAGCAGTTAACCCTTGCAGTGCTGGGGGTAACCCCACTACAGGGGTTAGCTTTTGGCATACCTGGAGTTCTTCCTTAAAGCCCATTAATAATGCTCCATTTTTGAGTTCAGTTCCACTTTAACGAGTGTGCTGAACGCGACGCTTGTCGATGCGCCAAACCTGTGTAAATGAGCCTTTACTAGGCAGTAACAAAAAAACAACTGTACCTGCAAAAAAAAAAAACTTTATGAAGCGATTAGTTACAAAGCAGATCCAGTCCTACAAGGGATTCTGGCCAATTAGCCTTTTCTTCGTTATAATTAAAACCATGGCTACTGCTGTTTCCGATGGCCCTGTCCAGCTGCGCCGGGCCTAAAAATAAAAGGGGGAATGATAAAGGGTGGTAGAACCATTCATTTTCCGGCTCACCGCAGCCTCACGCCGAACCTAATGAAGACCATATTCAAACAGGAGCCTATTGATTTGCAGGTCT